AAATTCAAGTTCCTGTTTTCAACATACACTTATATAAGCCTGATCCTTCATATGGAAGAATAAAAAGACGATATTTCGTAGTGCGACATTGTTAGCTTTCCAGATTGTCTACATATTTTAATTTGTACGGTGACCATACATTTTAGGCTGCTCCTGCGTATTCCAACTGTGTCCTCACATAACAAGCCATCTAAAGAGTGGCACGAATGTTGCGTAGTCTGAAAATTGGAATGATCTCCTAAAAATGGCAAGAATCGAGTTAGCTTTTCTTTTGAACCCTTTCGCTGATTTGTCGATGACAACTCCAATGCTCTTTTCCTCATTAAACCGATGTTTCAAGGATTTCCCCTTGTATGTTTTTGACATTTAATTCGTGGACTCCTTGGATCGTCCAATAGTTATTATATTTACATTTTCCTGGATGCATCTTAATTAGCCATTCAGCGCTCCATTTTTTTCTGATACACCCAAACGTTTCTATATCGAGTCTTATCTTCCGGTTTGGTGATTATCTTAATGATTTTCTTGACGCCAGCCAAAAAATACATACATGTATCGGAACCAACTGTTGTAGGTAGATTATGCAGTTACAAATATAACAAATAAAAGGGGGTCGAGTACTGATCCTTGTGGTACCCCAGAAGTAACAGGCTTACATTCCGAGTGTTCATTGTTTACCGTGATACATTGGGTACGATTAGACAAAAACGAAGTACTCCAGCTGACTATTTGACATCAAATGTTGTAAGATTAATGTTTTTTATCAGCCTTGTATTTGGAACAGTGTCAAACGCCTTCTGGAAATCCGTCTATATACAGTATACAGCTTGACCTTTTCCAAAAGATTCTGTCCACTTATCTATGTCTTAATCAAGTGGCTGTAGTGTCGTGGATCTTCCCGACAGGAATCTGAGAAGTAATTGTTAGCCCGCATCCATCTGTCGATATGTTTCCGTACTATGCATGCTTTCCAGTACTTTACATATGACCGAGGTCAAACTGACAGGCCTATATATATGTATCACATAATGTACTGTGTTATCCAGTGAATATTAACCCATGTAATATAACCTATGAGCCCTGTGATTGGTTGTAAGTTTCAATTGTTTCAATTTGGACGTCACGCCTAGGACAAGTACATTTTACATGACGTCACAGACTCACGCACTGGAGTCAGAATGGCGGCTTTTTACATTTCATGGTTACATGAAAATTGTTGTTCTACACGAATAAATGCCACAAATATTGATTATGTGATAAAAAGGATCTTACACTCGTTTTCATTTCATATGAAATTTATGAAACTCTTCACAAATTTTTCATTTTAGCTCGCCTGAGGCTTTTTCCCAGTCCGGTAAATATTAATATTCTGATTCGAGGCTTTGATTAAATCATAATGCCAGCAGAGTCGCCACATAAATGCAGGATGAATATCAAGTTGTCCAACCTAGTAGCTATATCCGGTCTCAGCTAGAACAGAAGTGCAAACACTTCTGAGCTGAAGTAGTATTAGTATTCTATCCTATCCTATCGGCCGCCCATAGATATATCACCGGATAATACTGCGGGTACTCTAGAATCGTAATGTAATTTCCAGAGCATTTACCTGACAGAGTAAATTAAGAAAAATCCCTTTAGAAATTCATCATTAATTGATTTTTAGCTAATGTTTGATCGTCAAAAACTATTTGGAAACAATATAATTTTGTCTTGTATTTATGGAGGCAGCTGTGCCTATTTTTCTGCTATGTCCATTTAAAAAAAGAAAACTTAAGTAATGATATTTTGATTAAATTTGCATCTGGTGTATTTTAGATACAAGTATAATCCTTCGTTACACATGAAGTAATAAAGAGATGCTTATACAGTGTGTTATTTTTTTTTTTATAACTAGGCCGTATTTCTTATGATGAAAATATTTCCGGGATGTGTATAAAAAGCAAATCTGGATTTTTAACATGACGTACAATGTAAGTAAACTGTACATGTTAAGACCGACCACCCCTGATACTTTTGGTCTTGAGAAAATATTTACAACTGTGACGATCTTATCAGTTCAGGTGACTTGCCAGGACATTCACACGAAAAAATGGCGAGGAAAACTCAATTAATAAATTACATAAACGGAGAAAGTATCTTTTGGGACGGTTGAAAGAAAATCATGACCTAGTTACCTCTTTAATCTAGTTTTACGATTTTTCTGTAAACCGAATTGCATCTTATTCATGTTATTCTTACAAAATACCTCGCATTGACTTTGGTATTGCTGTAATATACAAATTTATTGAAATGTCAGGGTGAACTTACCCCAGACTGCCTGTCCGAATTTGCCCCAAGGCGTTGTATGTTCGGTCATTCAACCTCCGACAGAAAAAGTTAATGATAATTCATCAAATATGGACGTGTTTGCCCGTTTGATGTTATTTCATGACAGGAATGGAATTTCTCTTCAAAATGGTGTAAAAGAAACATAAATTGAAAATAAATCCCGTACTATATAATTATACTAGAACGACTTTTATAAAAATAGGTCAAACGTGCGTGCCTCAGTCTCCCCTATCTAACATATAGTGATACAGATATACGCGGCATGGATTTCGTCAGAGCGGGAATTACTTGGCGCTGTATACGACTTCCGTCGGAACAAAAAAAACGCACTAAAGGGAATTTCGAAGGTTTATCATGAGGGCTCAGTTCGCTAGGGATAGGACGTTTACATAACTACATGAAAATTCTTTTGTTATTATTTGATGTTTGATTAGTTACTAAGCCTAATAGAATAATTAATAAGTGTTCAAAACAGTGGTTGATCTTCTGTGTATCTTTGTAATTAAATTTGAAATTAACATTAATTAGATTACTTGAATTACAATTAAGTCGTACTGGTGTATGATGTGATACGAATTCCTTGCACGATCGAGACGGATCCGTGCCACATGTATCATTATTATATAGAAGTACTCTGACGGAAGACAATCGGGAAAACCCCGTGCAAGCTAGGGAAACATATAGGTGCAAATGTCAGATTAAAGCAATGTCATTGGTTTTTTTGTGTCCATGGATTCACGATGGGACCATCTACATATATGAATCAGAAAATGTATCACACAATGTTGACTGCACACTATGAAAAGCAAACGTAAAAGTTTAAGCGAGGAATGGACATTGATACAAGGTAGGCGCAGTGTGCGCCACCTAGTGACCAGAAGACTAGTTCGATCCTTTGATGTACGTCAAATGAATCTCGCAGTAGCGTAACGGTAAAATCGTCTGGCTTTGAAGTCTTAATTCGCTAATTTTTAATCTTCAAAGGACATTTTCTACCTGAAATCAATCAAACAGCAAGCAACGTGCCTTCAATTTTGCTACCCAGTTGGAGTATCGAGAATATTTCATACGGTGATAGTGCACTTTAAAGGCTGATAATGGACACCAAAAAACATTTTCAAAGTCTGAATAATCAAATGCAATAAAACCTTTAAATAACTTCTAAATAAAAAGGGGCATAGGTGCAAGGTATTTGACCTGCAGCACGCTGTAAATAATTTTGCTGTCAAGATTGTTCATACAATGACCTTGTCAAGTTTATTGGGTTCAAATGTCTTAAAACCTTTAAATAACTTTTTCTATATAAACAAGAGATCGAGGTCTGTAACATGCTGAGGCAAAGGGCTATCAAGATTGCTTAAGTGAATGACACTGACCAATTTCCAAGGACACTGGGGTCAAACGAGTTAAAAAAACAAAAAGTTACAATATTTTTCCATTGAACCAATGCAAGAAGCCTTATAGGGTCATGCTGGTTGGCAAGCAACACCTGGATGATGATTTTGTTTGTTTAAATGAATGACCTTGACACATTTTCAATGCCATAGAGGCCAACTGTGTTTAAATCTTTCAAAATGTTTTGAATAAAAAAATGCAAAAGGGCACATTGATATATTATTGACCTTTGACATGCTGGTGTGGTATAACCAATCACATAAAGCCATGGGCTAGGTTCCCAGTGAGTATACTTGTGTCTGTCCACTGTGTATACATGCATTTGTTTTAGTCCCCCTACCCCACCCCTACAGGTACATGTACCACATGATCAAACCATATGTCTATATACATGTTTGCACTCTGACCAGCTATTGTACTCTGTCACTTACAATTGCCAAATGTGGGATCCACAACAATGCATAAAATCCAATATGGTCAGCCCACACAGCGATCTTTTATTCATATTTTGCAAAAACATTGCCAGTCTGCAGATAGTATTGAAAATGATGGTCTTAGCTCCATTAAAAGGCTTGATTTGGCCAAATTGGAGCTCCTTGAAGTACTCCTGCTCAGAACTTGGAGTAATACTTA